GGGTGTCGAGCGGCAGTCATGGAAAACATACAGTCAGTGATGAGATGATAAGGAGGAGGCCGGGCTGCGGATGCTGGGATTCACTCCTGGACTGGTTGTGGTGGATGGTTGCTGAGGGGACAGAGTGACAGAAACAGTTAATGGGAGACTGTGCATCGACCTGCATGGTGGAGTGATGTGGAGTTGAGGAGGAATGTGGTCCGGAGAAGCGATAGCGGCTGGGAAGATAAGACACGGGGCACAAGGCAGGAACGGAGCTGAGATGAAGAACGTGAGCAAATACATATAGTAGACAAAAACAATAGATTGGCGTAGAAACGGGCTAGTGTGTAGAAAGAACTGGCAGGGAAGTGGACGATGAGCACGGTATAAATAGGAAGAAACTAATCAGGTGCAGCTGGTGGTGATTCAGGGGACGTGAAGCAGGTGTGTCAGATAAAAAAATCAGGGGTAAGGGAGCTAAAATAGAGGGAGAGAAGTGAGAGAGGCAGGTGCAGCCGGGCAAACCTGACATGTACATATGTTCTAGCATTTCTGTGCAGAAGTAACTCGGTTTTTACAGGTCTTGCAAACTCTCGTTCACAAGACTTTTTTCTAGCAAAATTTAATCTTACATGATAATTTAAGGATTTTCTTGAATGGGCAAAGTCCAGGCTGTGGCACATTCATGTGGACTTGCCTGACATCCACCAGTGCCTACACCATATTGGCAAAATGTTATACTGCCTTGTTTGTTATGTATGTTTTCAGTAAAGCTTATTTAAAAAAAAAATCCACCATATAAGTAGAATTTTCTACTGTGCCTGGTTTTGTGGATCTAGTTTACCTCCTGCTGCTGCACTGTGACTAGAGGATGTGAAGAAAAACATAGGGCCTGAGGTTACTGCATGTCCAGGAATGTTCCTGCACAGGGACCCCTGTTTTACCTGACCAGATCTAACCTACAACCAGCTGGCCTGTAAATCCCCCTGGGGCAGTGAATGATCAGCGCATCAATGCTGGATTCCCCCAGAGCACAGCACCTGTTTGTTGACTGCTTGAGGCCAGTGTGTCTACCACATGTGATGTGTTGCTGGTCAATGAGTGGATTAACGATTCATGATGTTATTGTCAGTGATATGCTACCTGTTGGAATCAATTTCACTACTTTGGGAATATATGTGGGGGAAGACGCAGTGGCCACCAGTTATATTTAGCAACTTGGAGCTACTTGAAAGGGAATGATGTTTCCATTGCTCAGTGGGACTTAACAGTAAGTTAAAACACGCCTTACATGTCTGTCAATGCCTTGATTCTCTAAGGTTATAGAGAGTTGTTGTAAGGCTGCAGAAGTTACTATGTCTCCATTATACCAGTTAAAATATGGGGTTTCTCAGTTACCCTTTCAGTGTAACACATCTCTTTTCATTGGTACATATACCATTGTTTACCTATCTATGGAGCAGAAATTCATATTAATTAATGCCATGGTGGTTGCGCTGTCCACTTTGGACACAATACCAGCAGCAGGTGGTGTGCGCGTTCATGAACTATACTCTTGTTTTTAGGAAGAGGCTTTTTGGTTTTATTATTCTAGACTTTTTGGAGTTATGATGGGTGCCACAATAATCTAGAGGTACCTAAGATTAAACATTAAATGACTGGAAATTAACAAAATGAACAGCCATGGGGGCTATAAATGCATCAGTGTTTAATGTTGTAATGAAAAACTTTATCAAAAAAATTGTTTACATTAAAGTCTATTTAAAGGTGTAAAAAAGTAGCACAAAGCCTTTTCTGTCACCACCACTAAGGTTCAAGGTTCAAGGATTTTATGGTCAAGACATACAGAAAATTGAAATACCATTTCTCTCACCTAGTATTGGGTGCCATAACATTTAGGAACTAAAATAGAATAAAGTAGAATAAAAATAGAATAGAATAAGAACTTGATTAACGTAATTAAGATAAATCTAAATGGTACAGCTGTGACTCAAAACCGAGTACAGTCAGTGACAGCAGTGCAAAACAACAATAGGAGATTGTGAGATGGTTCAGCATCAGTGTTGGTGATGAGGTGCAAATAGGATAAGAGGTATACATGAACAGTACTGCAAATAACTACAACTCATTAAAAAGCAGAAAACCTTGCAAATAGTTTGAATGTTGGAACAGTTGGATTGCATTAGGTTGCAATGCAAAAAGGCTTAATCCTCTACTCACATAATTTCAATAAGTGTAATATTCATGCTTTCAGCACTATATACTGTATACTATACAGTCAGCTATGACTTAAATTAAATTAAAAATTTGTTTAAACATGCTTTGTAAAACATACGCTCACACACAC